AGAGAGAGAAAGAGAGAGAGAGAGAGAGAGAGAGAGAGAGAGAGAGAGAGAGAGAGAGAGAGAGAGAGAGAGAGAGGGTCAATCAATCAATCAATCAATCAATCAAGATCCTATCGATTCGGCATCGCGGCCAAAGGGGACACATAGCGCTTCACCCCTAATGCACGCATGCGATTAGGGATGTTCGTCAATTTCCAAAATTTGTTCTTTATGCGAGTGAAGTTGTGTCCTGCGGCGACTAAGGCCTCATCTTGATCCCGCTTAGAACGGACATGTGTGAGAGAGTCATCCAAATTCCATAAAGTTCGCCCTTCGCTTGCTGCCTTGCTTTTACCTCGCCCCTTAGAACTAGTTTTCTTCACTGGTGTCTTTTTGCAGTTGCAGGAAGCTTGAGGAACTTCGTCCTCCATGTCCTCTTCGTCTTCTTCCTCCTTCTCTAATTCATCCACATCTTCGCATTGTCCATCTACAACCCAACTTTCTCCACTCCCATCGCTGTCGCTTGTCGCACTCATTGTGGAAACACGTGCAATGATGTATTCCACCACGCCCGCCTCTCTGCTCTTCCCTCGCCCCCCTATCGACGATGTCGTTGCAACGGTCCCCCGACCACCGCCGGTAAATCTTGCAACTGACCTGCTCACTCTTCTGTTATTTGCAGAATAGCCCGGCTGCTGCACCTCGGCGGTGGTCGATCGCCCACCCTTGCAACTGACAGATGGCTCCCGTTGAGATCGGATGGGAGGATTCACTAGCAAATTTCTTGATGAGGTCACTTGGCTCCCAGATGATAGCTACAGGTCGAGAGGCGGTCCCATGCCCTGCCACTGTACACGCATCGAGATAGATGTCATAGGTCCCTGCCGGCGCTGCCGCTGACGAAGCTTCGCCCGTTCCATTCCCCAGTCAGAGATGGACTGCGTCGATCCGTATGCCACGGGGACGGCAGACGATGGTGGTTCCCAGGATTCGTCGTCAGGCAGTGGTTGTTGCCACGATGTCAGGTTCGCGTACATTCCCGGGTCGAAACGGGCCGTGCACGACGACCGCTGTCTCCCCCCGCCTCCCACCCCCCCCATGCTGTAGAACAACTGCTCCTGCCCGTCACCGCCTGCCATGCCTCCCTTACGACCAGTTTGCTTGAGCACTTTCATCGTTTTCCGCCTCTGTGGGAGACGACGTACCTGGAGCAATGAGCAAAAGTGCACGAGGACGACGAAGAGCAGGACGAAGAGGATGAGACAGAGTAACGACAAGTTGACAACTTCCTCACGTGGTCAGCCATGCAAGTGGATCTGGAATTGCGGGTTTGCACGCATGCTCCTGCGGTGAGTCCTGCCTCACTTCCCATTGTCTTGTAGTACACATGACACCACTCACGTCGTCGCATCTACCCCAACAAACCACCACCCACCCACTCCCAACACTGGCCCTTCTCCTCGCTCCGCCCTGCTACGTTGCAATTTTCAAAAAGGTCACCGCATGGCGGACTTGCGTAGCGCAGCAACGGTTGAAAATGCCCTGGGTACTGCTGCTGGGACAACGGCCTCAAATGACCGCGGTACCACTGCTTCTACCGGCCACCAGCACTGGACGGTATGATGTTCGCCGCAAGGCCGCCAACAAAAACCAGCCATGATCCAGGAACGGACGAAAAATGTGCAAAAAAAATAAGTAAATAACAAAATACCTGGTTTCCGCGGCTGTCCAAAGGGTGCAAGGGTGCACTCTTGAACGCAAGTCACCTCCGAGAGGTAACTTGAATTGAAGGGCGATTTTGGCTGTGTCGCCCGTGAGTTTCAAGGGCGCATCCTTGGGAAGCAAAAAAGTGAAAACAAAGGGGGTCGGTCTAAGGGGGGGTGGAACGATGAGTTTTTGCTCGCTCTTGAACTCAAGTGGTATGGGACGAGGCCCTTAGAGGTAGTGATAGGTAGATAATGAAAAGCGAACACATGCATTCATATTATATATTGTTTTTCAAAAAAATATTATATATTGTTTTTCAAAAAATATAGTTGAACGCCGATTTGAACTCAGGCGCGAATTCCAGTTCATGGGTGTAGCAACTGAGCTAGGCCTGTGGCCCGTGGGCCGTGGGTGCACGACTGTGCTTCCCGAGCACGGTGCGGCAGCACACCTTTTTGGGCCTCGTCGCACTACTCGCCATCCGCCAACATTTTGATTTTGATAGCATGTTGATATCATTCTGTCCAGATGCATTCGAAATCTTGGCGGATCGCGAGTAGTGTAACCAGGGCCTTCGTCTCGCGATTTCACGGCTTGCTTTGTTTTGTTTCGTCCGCTGTGCGACGACGAGAGCACATACACAACACACGCAGACAGAGGTGCGGATCGGAGAGAGAGAGAGAGAGAGAGAGAGAGAGAGAGAAGAGGGCGCTGGAGATCGCCGGGGAAAGGTAGTTCGATACGTCGATCGTCAACTGAATCAGGTTGTCTGTTTCTCTGTCTGCTTCCTTTTCTGTTCTGTTCCCCCGCGCCATCCCCAGACTCTCTCTCTCTCTCTCTCGTCCTCTGCCTCTGGCGATTCCCCTATTTCTGTTTTGTGACTAATGTAATATGTATGTTTATGCTGTTTTTGTTGATGGATTGGCCACGGCTGCGCTAGATTGAGGTCGATTACATATTCAGGTCTTCCGAGAGCGTTTTGGTTCAACAATAGCGTAGTGTGGACTTGTACTTACTCTACCACTCTCCTACTTTCATACTCTTTCCCTCTCTCGTTCTCGCCCTTGTCGTTCTTATTCCGTCTCTTCCCTCCTTCCCGGTTGTATGTGTACTCTCTCTCTACTCTCGTTGCAATCGATTGACTGGATCCTGTCGACTCGATCCAGTCTCCTCTCACTTGCAACGTGAGTGCCACGTGTGCAGACGTGATCAGGATCGGATGGGATTCCATCATAATTGGAACGATAGACCGAAGATTAATTAGCATGGTCCCTGCGCAAGGATGACCCGACGTACCCTCTCGAGTAGACTTGTCTGATCGGGCTCGCTGAAGCTTCGGAGACGTCCGTGAACACCGGATGCGTATCGTCCAGCCTGCGCGACAGCGCACCCTCTGCTCATTCGCTAACGCGCACAGTGCCGCACACTTTGAGCTAGGTGTTGGATTCGGTTCTCCCATGGACCGAGTCTGCCTGAGCGAGTCAGATTGGCTCACCTCCCGCCGTAGATTCCCGTCTGTCGGGGCCAGGTTGAACAGATAAGTGTGGCTTCTTCAGACTTCAGCCTCAGGAGGAGGGAGGAGGGAGGAGGGAGGAGGGAGGATACATTTATGGGTGGTTAGCGTTGTCGTCAACTCCCGAGCAGTTGTCGTCAGCTAGCTGTACGAGTGCGACGGGAGCTTCGTGATTGGCGATTTTCTGCTCTGATTTTGCGGCTCGGATTACGCGGTTGGACTGGATTGCGGCTACACGATGGATTGAGGGTCACAGGTTAGGAATCGGGTTTTTGCAGTTTTTGCTTTGAGTGAGTTCTCGAGTTAATTAAGAGTTAATTAAGAGTTAATTAAGAGTTAATTAAGAGTTGATTGAGAGTTAATTAAGAGTTAAGGAAGGAGGAGGGGGAGGAGACATTGATTGCGGTTTTACCGTTTGTCGTCATCTCCCGATCAGCAGTTTGTAACACGTGATTCCCTCGCACCATGGGAGCTTCGTGATCAGCGCTTTCTCTTCTTTTTTTTTTTCTTTTTTTTTTTTCTTCTTCTTCTTCTTCTTCTTCTTCTTCTTCTTTTCTTCTTCTTCTTCTTCTTCTTCTTCTTNTTTTTCTTCTTCTTCTTCTTCTTCTTCTTCTTCTTCTTTTCTTCTTCTTCTTCTTCTTCTTCTTCTTCTTCTTCTTCTTCTTCTTCTTTTCTTCTTCATCTTCTTTGTTGCAAGGCGAACTGTCTTCTTTATTGAAGGGGCGACTGCCTTTACATATCCTCATCATTGAACTGACCGCCCCTAGGCAATTCAGAATGATTTTATTCTCTTTATTTGAGGGGTTATCTGGATTGGAACTTGAGAGTCTGTATTTCAAAATTTCAGGGGTGCACCAACTGAGCTAGGTCCGTTGATCGAGGATCTCGGCTTGCTCTGATTGCGGCTCGCTCCCATTGCGCTTCGCATTCCGGCTACGATACACAGGATTGATGGGCGGCGGGGGCTTTACACAAAATCGGGTTCGCTTTTTTTGCAATCTTGGCGTTGCCGTGGGCATGCGTATTCGGGCTTAGGGTTGTCAATTTGTCATTGTGATCGATGGCTGATAGCAAGTGTGATCGATCGGTGTGATCGATGGCTCAGAGCAAGTGGTGCGCGTGAGGGTTTTTTGAGCTTTTGCAATCGAGCGAGTTTTGGGTTTGTGAACTCTGGTTTTCATATGCGGCGGGTTTTGGGGTATTACGTGTTGTGTGTGTGGGGGGGGTGTTGTAGCGGCTGCTGGGATCGCGGGTCGGGTTGTTGTGGGGTCGGGTTGTTGTGGTTCAAAATGCAGCTCGGTGGTTGGGGTTGCTGCTGTGATCGACGCTCGGTTTGTGGCTCTGATTGCGACTCCGCGGGGATTCGCGGCTGCTCCGGTTGTGGGTCGGGATATGCGGTTTTGTAGTGTTGATTGGCACTGTTTTTTGGGTCGCCCTGTGGGCATTCGTTGCTGGTAGTAGTGTTCGGTCGTGGCTGGCTGCGGTTGTGGGCTTTTTTTTTGTTTTGTTTTTTTTTTTGTTTTTTTTGTTTTGCTGAGGTTGTTGCTCGACTTTGAGTTTTTTGCAGTTTTTGGGGTCGCGCCCTTGGATTTCATCGATGACACTGGTTAGCAAGTGGTGGTGCGGCGCGTGACAGTTTTTGCAATCGGGATTCCGCCGGTTCGGAATCGGGCTCGAAATCCAGCTCGGATTCCGGTTTTAGGATATTCCAGTTTTTCGGAATCCGGCTCAGAATCGGGGTCGGATTCAAGCTCGGATTTCGAGCCGACTTTAGATTCGATTCGATTCGTCGTTTGGCTTGGGGAACGTGCCCCCCATCTGTTGTATTCTCGTTCTCTCGAGAGATTCTGGCTTTCTACTGACAAAAAAAAGGCTTCTGGCTAACCGTCATGGCAGTGTCCGTACATGAACCTCCCCCCTCCTCCCTCTCCTCTTCTCCTCCCCGTTCGCTTTCTTTCTTTTCTAACAACAACTACGCGGCTCCTGCCAATCTACAGCAGGTCCACGTGGTCCACGTGGCAGCAGCGGGGAATGGAGCGCCTGGCATCGAGTCGTTAGCAGCGAGAGGAGGAGGAGGAGGATTGCAGACAGCAGCAACTGCAGAACCTGAAGCGGTAGCGATGCTAGGAGGAGGAGGAGGAGGAGGGAGAGCGGGGGGAGGTGGAGGCGCACCGATCCCCTTGATTCGTGCTAATGGAATCACGATGGCACTTGCCTCCGGTGCCAAGCACTCGCAATATCCATCTTCTCCGACAGTGGTGGTCCCGGGTTCGAGGTTCGCCGTTTCGGATACCCTAAAGTCGCCTTCAGCAGCGGAGACAAGTGTCGCAGGGGCCAGAGCTCGCTTGACCCGATTGATGGATATGCTTCTGAAGATTGTTGCAGTTATGCTTCTCGGCATCTTCCTGCTTCATGTACTGTTCGATCAATCGCAATTGGGAGTGGGAGGGGATGATTCTCTGTCCTCAACGAAGGGCATACCTCATCTGGGGGATTCTGCTGCCGTTGGGACTAGCGCAAGCACTTCCGCGGCGAGCAAGCCTAGGGTGCTAATTGTATCTGCCAGCCAATCAGAATGCGGGACCGAGAAGGGGGACAACGACATTTTGAAATCCTTGAAGAACAAAGCGGATTACGCGCGGCGTCACAGAATGGACACGTGGTTCTCGATGGAGTTGTTGGTGGAACCGCAGTTCCATCGCCTGCGCAACAAGATCGTGCTGCTCAAGAAGATCCTGCTCACCGAGCCGAACTATGATTGGTACATGTGGATTGACTCGGACGCGATGTTCACGGACATGAGCTTCGAGATCCCGTGGGAGCGGTATCGCGATCGCAGTGTCGTTATTTTTGGCAACGAAAAGAGTCTGGATACTGACCCCGATTACCACGAGTCGATAAACATGGGGGTGGCGCTGCTGCGCAACGACGCGTTCACGCGCGCGCTGCTCGATCGAATGGTCGACTTCTGGGCTGAAAATAGCAATCAGACCGAACTCACGGCGAAGGTGTCCCGACGGATAAAGCGCCTGCCGCCGTACGTGTGCGACCAAGGCACGGCCTTGTATTTGTTGTTGACGGAGCCGGAAAAGTGGCGCCGCGGCTTCTTCTTCGAGCTGAACTACGGTCTCAACCGCTACTGGAAGGAGGTGGCGCCTCATCTGGAGAAGTACGACGAGGGAGTAGTGGATGCAGACGATGGTGGTCCCACGTGGAAGGGCGACGGCTTATCTCCGCCGTTCATCACGCATTTCTGTGGCTGCTCCTTGTGCTGGAAGAAGGTGTTCGACGATTTCGAGGAGTGCCAGCGTCAGTATGAACGCGCCTTCACCTTCGCCAACAATCAAGTGATCAAGCCTCTCGGTGTCAAGCACCGGAATTTGACTTCCCCTGAAGTTGTAAGCCTATCAGCTCAATAGAGAACACTCAGAAGAACAGTTGCCACGTAAGTTGTGTAGTGCAAGGAAGAAGAAGAAGAAGAAGAAGAAGAAGAAGAGAAAGAAGAAGAAGAAGAAGAAGAAGAGGGGGCATGCATGCATGGATGCATGCTGACAATAATAAGTTTTTTCTTGAGGCGTATTTGAGCGCATTTGCGGGCACATTCGGTTCGACAAAGGGGGGAATGAAATGCGAAGTAAAAGCGGGCTATTTGCGGAAGTAGTCGGGGGACAAGCGTGCATGCTCCCAGTAGGTTCTTCTTGAGTCGTATCTGACCGCAGTTGCAGCTAGATTCGGTTCGGAAATGCGCGACGAAGTCGTCAAGGCTCTGGGTGTGAAGCATCGGAATCTGACCTCCGCGGAAGTGGAAAGAGTATCAACTTTGAAGTGAATAAAACTCCGAAGGCGTATATGGGCAGTTGCAGCCAGATTCGGTTCGGAAATGCGCGACGAAGTCGTCAAAGCTCTGGGTGTGAAGCATCGGAATGATGGAATCTGACCTCCGCGGAAGTGGAAAGAGTATCAACTTTGAAGGGAATAAAACTCGGAGAATGTTTTTCTTGAGGCTGGACAAGCGGGAAGAAGAACGGTATGGCGCATGGCTCACAGTGAGTTTTTTCTTGAGATGTACCTGACAGCATTTGCAGGTCAGATGCGGTTTGAAAAAACGCGATTGTGAGTGTGGCCGAGGCCCGAAGGCGATCTGTGATATAGGTAGCGTGGTCTGGTAGAGCTTACTCACACCGCGGCTTCGCTGGACTGATCTGATCGCAAGTATGGCTTATTCTCGATCTCTTATCTGACTAGAATTACGTGAAAGTCAAAGAGAGAGAGAGAGAGAGAGAGGGATCTGACCACAAGCATTCTGCACGCGCAAATGTCAAATGTGTTTTGGAGTTGCGAAAACATCAGTCTGAGATTCTCTTCTGTGTTCCGCCAAATAGAAAACTTCCGCCAAACCGAAAACGCTAGGCGTCGTGAAAGCCCGCGTGCGCGCGCGAAAGAGAGAGGGGGAGAGAGAGAGAGAGAGAGAGAGAGAGGGAGTTGTTAAAGCTGATATGTACAGTCTCACGATGGCTAGGCTTTCTGTTCGGGGGAAGGTGAGGTGTGTGACTCCTGCGCGTATCGGAGCTTTTTTTTTTATTTCAAGTTTTCTGCGCTCTTTGCGGTTTGTTTGTGTGAACGACTTCATTTTGCAAATTGTCACTTACTGATCGGTAATAAACGGTGCTTAACGAAACGGAAAAGGAGAGGTGCTAGGACGAGTACATGGAAGGCTGTGAAGGAAGAGGAGGGAAGATGCATTCTTTAAGGGAGAAGGAGAGAGTTAAGGGGGAAAGGACGAGGAAACGGTCGGTTAAGTTCGAGGAAGAGGGAAAAGGAGACGCCAATCGGGGGAGAATGCTTTTGGTGTGGGGAGAGAGAGAGAGAGAGAGAGAGAGAGAGAGAGAGAGAGAGAGAGAGAGAGAGAGAGAGAGAGAGAGAGAGAGAGAGAGAGAGAGAGA